AAAAAACACTTTTTTCTAAAAAAAAAAAAAAAAAAAAAAGGAGAGCACAAATCTGGCGGTGCAACATTTGAAAGTAATAATGGAAAAAAAAACCATGTCTTTCAACTTGTAAATTTAATTTAAAAGATTGATGAAATTAGTCTTTCCTTATATTTTGGTGTTTTATTAAAAAGAAGAAAAAAAAAAAATAGATGGGAAGAAACATTTTTGGCCCGCGCACACGTTCCCAGCCACATATGACTAATTCATGGCAGCGTTCTCCGACAACAATTATCACTGAGAAACAAACTTTATCCACCGTTTGACAGAGTTGGCCGTTTCCACTTTTTTTTTTCCCCTTCCCTGTTCTCCCTTCGTGTCTTTCCTTTTTTTCCCTTCTTCCTTTCCTCCGTTTGGCACGCTCGACGCGGCGCGGTAATTTGAACGACCGACCCGGAGAGTTAAATAATAATAATTGAAGCGAGAATTCGTGCGCCGTTGCGTCGGGCACGAAACAAAGGCTGAACTAGTCTTGCTTTCGGCCGCGGATCGTCTCCCGTCTTACGGCTGCAGACGCGACGTGTATCAAAGAAACGTATTATTATTTTAAATCGGACGGGCAGCGATTCGGCTTTTCAGAGCGGAACGGTGAGATCGAGCGGAGTCACCTTAGCCGTGGCAGTGGAGTAGTACCGTAGTATCGTAGGCGGTTCGAACTTGACGCGTAACTCGTTGATAAAATAGTAAGCGTCGGAACCGAAAAATGAACGCTTAAAGGTGTATTAATACAGAGTGGTCACTGAAAAACTGAAGGGTTTGAAAAAAATCATCACTCGTTCAAAATCATTTTCAATCTTTTTTAGTTGCGGGCAGAAAAAAATGATGGTCGTTTGCGGGATGTTGTTTTTCACACATAATACCGAAGAAAATCCATTAATTATATTTCTAAGTAAAAATCATAAATGTGTTTGTGAAAGTTATTTTTGTTATTTTGTATCATTCAGTGTTTCAGTGACCTTGATAAAGACAGAAGGTACATTTTTCGATGCAGCACTGTTTTCACCCCTTGATGCATTTCGACGTATTTTTATTATTTACTGACTTAGGCATGCGAGTAAAGCTCACGGTGTAAGCCGCGGATAGTGTGTCAAGAAGGGTAGGTGTATTCTGCGAATTGGCACTGAAAGAGAGGGGATGAGCGTCAAAGTGTTTCATCGACGCAACAATGCCTTCGTAAGCGTCCGTAGTCGGGACTGAAAACGGACGCTTAACCGTTAGGGTGGCGCGCAGTTTTAAAGAAAAAGAAACTCTACACGGAATTTTTTTTTAATATAAAAAAAGGAAGAAGAAAACATTTACTTCAATTATTAAACATGAAACATATCTTGAGAATGGGAAAGAAAATTGCATTTAGCGAGGCATAAATAATCCCATCACGCGACTAACGTTTTAAATGAAATTCATTGAAACGCATCTTTAGATAAGGTTAAAAAAATATCCCACGATGCGTTATTTCTCACGAGGAGTGTGGGACAATTTTGAATAGTTAAGAGCATACTTAATACTTGAATAGTTAAGTTAAACCCAGATGGCTAAGATGGATGACGTGTATCCTGCAAATTGGCATCAGAGAAACAGATGCCAAATGAGCTAGTAGCAATTTCAAAAATTAGTTGTAATTGGGGATAAACGACGCTCGTGAGTTCAAAAAAGCGTGGCACTGCCGTATCTGAAAAAAAAAATTTCCAGTTTAACCGCAAGAAAGAAAGACAGAGAGAGAGAGAGAGAGAGAGAGAGAGAGAGAGAGAGAGATACAAGCCGTCTCATATTTATAATAGTTACAGGTATTACGAAAACCAAGTTGATTTACCGCGACAGAAACGAAAACGTTTCCCAATCTAATGGCGGACGCGCAAAGGGGGGGGCCACGCGGCGGCACGCAACGGCGTTCGTTCCACCGTTTCCATTCAGCGCGACGGCGACGCGAGAGGGGATTAATCGGAATTCCTTTCCTCTTACTCGGTGATTCCGGACGGTAGCCGCCGAAGGTAGCAGAACGCGGCGCGTACAACAACGCGTGGACCTCGAACAGAAGCCTTGTGCACAACGGACGAACGCTCCTCTCGCGATGCGGTGGAAGCGCGCTGGCCCCGCAAGAGGTTTACGCAAGTAGTAAATAGAAGATAGTCTCGGTCTCCTTGGGACAAGAGAGAGAGAGAGAGAGAGTTAAATCGGTGGAAACGCCGATGGAGGCGGCGAAATTCCTAGGAGGGCGCACGTTGGTAACGGTGGTTGGTAGCAGTGACGCGCGATGCTTGTTACGCGGGTTAGAGGCGTTCCGGTGTCCCGGGTCCCCTTGTATTTGCACCCACTTTTATCAATCGAGAGGGGAGGGAGGGCGCGTCACGCGTACGGGCCATTTTCAAATCCCGCGTAAACAGAAACTCTCGTCGGCGTTAAAATGCAAATTTTTCCCGGGGATATTACTCGGGATCAATTTATAAAGTCCTGGAAAAAGAACGACGAGGCGGGGGGGGGGGGACGCGTGCGCGAAATAAAAGATCCGTTATGAAGTGTATAAAAATTTTAATGAAAATCAATATCGCCGGCCCAGGAACGCGTAAAAACACGCGTAATGCGTTAACGCAGACGACGAAAGAAAGAGAGAGAGAGAGAGAGAGTGAGAGGACACTGGAATTTATTTTACATTAATACGTAAAATAATACACGAAAACGCGACAATTTTTAGCTTCCGGTCGTGTGTACATACGTGACTCTCTCTCTCTCTCTTCCACGACCGGATGATTTTTATACTTCAAGCTTCTCTCTCTCTCACACTCTCTCTTTTTCCGCAGAGGTAAATTATTTACGACTCCCTCCTCCCTCGACCCGGAGTGGACGCTCGTAATTGGCCCTAAAATCCTTTGGCAGCTGCCTTCTTTCAAACGGTAGACCGTTTCGGCGATCGTAACTCATCTTTCTCGCTACGGGGCCGGTGCGCGTGTGCGTGCGCGTTTCGCCGTAAGATATTTTCGGTGCGCGGCGGCCCCCTTTGTTTGTTACAAAGTCGAATCCCTCCCGGTTCCATTCGATTCCCGCGCCTTCGGTAATACGCCTCGGAATTGCCTCGTTGGTTTCTTCGTCTCTTTCTCTTTCGGCCGCGGCCGATTTTCAATATTTATCGACACACTCGCGAGCAGAGATTCGCGAGCGGGAAGATGACACGGGGGATCGAGGGAGAGGCAGGTGTAGGCGAGCGCGCGGAGCGAAAGAAAGAAAGAAAGAAAGAAAGAAAGGAAGGAAGGAAGGACGGATGGATGGAGGGAAACACGGATGAAAGAAATTCGCGGCGAAAAGCGTACGCGCCGGCACGCTTTAGCAGTAATTTCGTATTAAGGCCGGCGTGACGTGTGCCTCGCCGGGAAGGCCGGGGGAGTATTTGCGAGGGCAATGCACTCTGGAATGCACGAGTCGGCCAGCCGGCGGTAGCGACGTAATATTATATATTTTATCGCTTTATTTGTTCTAACTTCTCCTCGCGTAGCCCTCCTCCTCCTCCCCTTTCCCCATCTCTCGGCTCGTTCCCTCGCGCACCGTCTCTCGTCCCTCTCATCTCTCTCTCTCTCTTTTCTTCTCTATACTTCCGAAATCGCGCAGATCGACGCAACACGTACGCAATCTGTTTTCTGCATTTTCCGCGGGTTTCGGCTGCGTGCTCGCTGGCCTCGGCTCTCGACGATTTCGATACACACGAGGCAAAGGTATCGTCAGCTTGTTATTGACCGGACATTGTACGCGATAACGCGTGATATTTTTTATAGACCCACGGGGCTACGTGCAATAATAAATATCGTGACGCGAGATTAAATAATAAATCTCGGCGCGCGAGATAGCGCGCACCGCCGCCGCCTCTATCGAATCGTATCGAATCGAATCGAGTCGAATCGAATCGCGCACGCGAATTCTTCTTCCCGCTCCTGCTGCACGTCCGATCAAAGTGTCTTTAGGTCGCGAAATCTTTAAAACCCAAACCGCGAAACTTTAAAACCCAGAGTTTGCAACTAGGAAATTGTCAGTGCCGCGAGAATCGAAAATCAGATCTCGACTGCAGTCGTCGCCGAAGAAGAGGGAAAGTCGAGTGGTTGATTCTCGTCGAGATGGTTGATGTGTCGAGATCGAGCGAGACTTGGGGGAGAGCTGCAGGCGACCGTCATTATGTTTTTTAATGTCCGTTTCGCCGACCGATCGAATCGCCGGCCGGTTGGCAATTTTTTCGGCAACGTCCGGCTCAACGGCGACTGGAAAATGACACGTTCGTGGTGGCGATGGGGGGAGGGGGGGGGGGAGGGAAATTGGAAACAACGGGTTTGGCAAGCCGAAAAATCGTGCCGGATGGCGGAGACACACGTATGTACGCGTGTGGAACGCGCATACACACACACACACACGCACACACACACACGGGTCCCTAGCCTCACCTGCACCGGCGAGGGCGAATGCTAAAAAGCCGGAGCTGAATAAATAAACAGTTTTTAATTGCGGCCCGCTGCTGCCGGGTAAAAACAATAATTATTGGCTTGCCGTAGCAACGTATCGCGCGCGTTTACGTCCCCCGGATGCAACGCGATCCGACTCCGCAAGTCGCTTTCGCGACATTTATCCGCCAAACGGAGAATTCGAACTTCTTGCCGAAAGTGTTTGGAGGAAAACAGCTTGAAACAGGTTGAATGGCGGTGGAAGTTGAGAGTAAGACTCTGGGTGTCAAGACTCTGGCCGTCGTTCGTTATTTTTTTTTTTTTTTTTTTTTTTTTTTTTTCGTTCGTTTTAAAACCCTATCCGCCTGTCGCGGCGTGCAAATCGTCGCCACGATGATTTCATAGCGCGCGAAAGATTTCTCAGTTTTCATCTGTTGTGTGTGGCTGCGTGGCCGCCGGGGCCGGTGTGAATGCACGGTCGATAATTCCATTACAATTAATCGTGATTTTGGTATTTTATATACAATTATGCGTGACGATGCGCCGTTGTGATTACCGCCACACCTACCAGCCAGCGACCAAATTCAGAAGACTTTGTCACAGAAACACTTCAGTCCTCGTAGACATCTTTTTTTTTTTTTAATACTTCTCTTCGTTCGAATATATTGTTTAGCGGTCCGTAATTTCTTCTTGTATTAATAATTCGCGTACTAAGCTGAGATAACTGGCTTGCACGGAAACCTGAGACGATCGATTACAACATAGGCCAGTCCTCTTGGTGCTTCGTTAAGAGTACCTAACTGCAGTAGAATATTCAGCAGGGCAACTCTTGGCGGGCGGGCTTTGTCATATGCTTCATAGAGTTCATGGTACATCAGGGGTTGTCCGCCGCCATTATATTGTGTACCTGTTCGAGCTTGTACGCCAATCTTTGCTTCTGTGAGAACTCGTCTTCCTCCAGAGTAACTATCAGCTGTTCGTTGTATTTACTCGCGTACGTGTATAATTCGTACAGGGCACAATTCGTGTTGAACTCTGTCGTATGCAACTGAAAAATAGAAATTAACAATGATCATAATCTCAGTGGCAAACTTAATTTCAAGAATCGAGAAAGGAAAAAAAGAGATTTGTGTATATATACCCTAGACTCTTCGGCAAGCATGGCGTTCATGTCTTGATCGGATATGGCTGGCATCACTTTGATATCTGCATAATAACGTTCTACCCACTCTTTGTACACTGGAATGTCCTTTGCATAAAGTAGTTTAGAACTCGGCGAGTCCTTACCTAGTGAAATAGAAAAGAAGACGATCTCATAACGTTTAAAATTCAACGGAATAATTTTATGGAATTTTAACAAAAACACTAGACTCATACCTAATCTATGATCGGAAGTGGAACAACTGTCCATAAATGTTTGCGCGACGACGGATAGACACGAGTCCACGATGTTGGACTTGTGTATATCGAAGATAAAGTTCGGGTTCTTAATGAGATTCACCCAAAACCTGAGCGGAAGCGAGTTGCTCTTCCATGTGTGAACGACTTCAGGGTCGGATATGCCGTGCTGCAGCGCTTGGTCGTCCATGAAGTCAAACATGTATTTGATCGCGAGGGGAAGAGCTGATCCTCGATGGGCAGTGCTAAAGATTGTTTCGAACAGGTCGTCGACGAACTTCTGAAGAGTACCTTTTGTGGCTAGTAGCCTCGTCAGGTAGATCTCTGACACCATTTTGTTCCCACGGTCCCCTTCCTTTCGTGCATCCGAGTCATGGTGCTTGACGAGATGCCAACACTTCAAACCACCGTCGTGATTTTGATTTAACGGCGACGTGGCACGCGAGAGCGGAGGACTGGCTGAACTAAATTTACTAAGGTTTAGAGTTTCGTATTTGTGCGATTTGTCCGTCTTCTCGGAAAGGATCGATAGATTGTAGATTGACGATTGCTTGGAAACTAAGTTGAGCGACGCTCCATCTGGTACCCTGTAATGGTTCAGCGTATTCCGTTTCTTCCATTCGCCCTCCGTTTTTGTCGTCGAGTCCTCGTCGTAAAGGATCAATCTGCCGGATGCTCCAGTTCGCCATTCTGTTGCAGCAATTACACGTTAGATCACTTATACCACATCGCATCGTTTGTACAATGTTGAGTTTAAAATGAACTTGAAATCTTACCAAGATCAAGATCGTCTTTTCTTGGCCTCTGGCTATAAGGCGTAGCTCTGTAGATCGTGTCCAATGCCTTTTCCTTCACTTGAGATATCGTGTCGCAGTCAAGAACCTTGACTGGTACGTTTTCTGTATTTGGATCCATACCACCGACGAAGACCGTTTGTTGAGATATAGACACGTAAACCGTCTAAAAAAAAAAAATCGTTAATTTTTGTATTGAAAAGAAAGTCGTGACAGAAAAGAAAAATTATAAAGATCCATCCAGGATAAAGAGGCTTTACCATTGGTTTGAAGTCAATGGACTGTCTGATCAGTTTCTCTTCTGACAATGAGTATCGTGCTTCAGACGTGATGGCATCGACAGGACCCTTATCGACTTGTTGTTTTACCGCGCGAAATAGTACATACAATGGTTCTCCGGCACATTCTCGCATGAACTTGTACAGGAGGAAAGTGAACCAAGCTGATAACATCTTTTCAGCGACACTTTCCGTTCTGAAGCACAAAATGGATCGTATCGTCATTATTCTAATAGAAATATTTTTTTAAGGGGGGGGGGGGCGTTGAACTTACCGTCTAAGGAAGAGTTTCGGATGGCTCTTTCCTTCCGTACATTTCTCAATCAGTTCTGCCAAAAGGGTCTTCAGGATATCTGTACAATATTCCATCTTACTCTGAAGCGTAACCATAATAAGACTAGCTACGTTCACCCTGTCCCTCATCGAGAAGTATCGATTGCTCTCGAGAGTTCTTACAAAGAGGAGCAAGAACGTTTTATTCATGATCAGTTGTCCAAATAAGCGCAATCCTTTCTCTTTGCGCGCCAATTCCGGTCGATCCCATTGCAGGACCGGGCTATTGTCGTCGCTCGGGAACAATATCATCATGGCGTAGGTTCGATAATCGAGGAAAGGTATACCTCCGCTGGTCAAGTCGCCCGTGAGATCCGTCATCTCCGTTTGCAACTCGGCGAACGCTTCCTTACATTCAGCCGCGACACGAAGCTCCAGAATGTCCATTTGCTCTTGCATGTTCTTCAGTACCCGATTGCTTTCCGTGGACTTGCGCCGGTACGCAATGAGGAAGGCGATGAACACGAACACTAGGATCACAATTGCGGCGATCACCCCGATCAGAGCTGGTTTCGATAGCGGCCCGTTAAGACCGGCTGGCAGTGCGTAGCTCAGTTTCCCTATGTTGTAACGAAGTGTGCCGCCCACGATCACGATTACCTCGGGCAGTTCTTGCTTATTCGGGAAACCATCGGAGTCGATGGCTGGCGGTTGTGTCAGAGGTGGCCTGCAGGTGAGCTGTTGCCTGGACAGCGAGGTAACGTTGCAGAATGCGTTTCCTATTTGCACCGTCACGTCTGATTCCTGGCAAGCACGATCCAGATGCTGGCCATTGATGGTCAGGTAGTCGCTCTTGTAATACTTGATCTCTTCGTCGAACACTTCGTATATAGGATTCGGATAAAGGAGAAAATGGTTGAATCCGTGTTGCGACAGATTCTGCACGCCTGTCACGTTGTCCATACGGAAGCCGTATTCCAACATCAACGGTTTTTCCGCGTCCAGGACAACATTGTCTGGAACTTCGATGGTCGGCGATTTACAGATCATGCTCTCTTGGCTATGCACCTCGCATTGCGACACGAACATCTTCTCGTCGTGGTACACGTACATCTGCGGACTCTGAATGTAGCCGAGGTTTTTGCCAGTTACCGAGATCTTTATTCCTCCTGCTGGTATGCCCTTTGGAATTTTCATCTGGCCCGCGACGCCGCTCTCCACGCTTTCGATCGTTGGATCGTCCGCGTACTCGAACGTTCCACTGTAAATTCGGAACGCGCCGTCGAACGTCATCTTGACCGTGCCGTTTCTTTTGTGATCGCTGGCGCTGGTCATGCAGAGCGCCTCGTTCATCTCTGCGCTGATTATGGAGCACGGTAACTCGTCGATGAATGCCTTGATGGTGCTGCCGGCGTTCATATATTTGCCGGTGATCCTCACGGTGGTCCCACCGCTCATAGGCCCATATTTCGGCGATATGGAGAGAATCTGAGGATCCACAAACTCGAAATTGTACTCGGATTGGCCCCTAAAGTCTTCGATTCTCACGATTACTGGTCCGCGTTTGCCCTCTGGTGTACCTGGACCGTCCACCCGGCAGACGATCTGCTTTGTGCGCATGTAGAGTTCCTGATACGGCAGGCAGGGTAATCCACCGACCATCACGCCGCGGTAGATGTCCTAAAATAAATCATTCGTTATACCATGTACGCCAGAATTGACTCGAAGCAAGTTTCATTCCAATAACAGATTTCGAATCCAAGTTATCTCGACTTTCGAAATTCTTTTTCAAAATGATCGTAGATGTCTCATCGTTTCCCGAGAAACACGTCACGTCGCGTAATTCTCTTTTTTTTTTTTTTTTTTAAAGCAAGAAATTTCCTCTCACCATGAACGTCTGACCCAAGTTGATGCCGCGTATCGTCACGTTCGTGTTACCTTCCCAAGGCCCCATAACCGGCTCGAACGAGTGTATCTCGGGATTGGGGCAGGTCTGGTTGCTATTCAACCACATGCCCGTGTTGCGTTCGCAGTTGTCCTTCACCTCGCATCTGTCCGTGCTCTGACACCATCCGCAGTCGTACTTGGGCGCCAGGGTCAGGCACATTCCGCAGTTGTCGGCCATGTCGCGGCACCGGTATATCACCAGATGGATGTTGTGCGGGTTGTCCAAAGGTTTCGAGCCGCCCCAGATCACCGCGAACGGCACGGTGATGTTGGGCGCTCGGGACGTGTAGGAAAACTCTGTCTCCTCGCAGTAAATCGTGTCCGCGAGCAGCCGAGCGTTCACGATCGTCACACGACCTTCTATGTTGAACTGACAGACGAACCGGGTCTGCACGATGAATTGCTGGAAAAGATTAGTTTCGCACAGATGTTAGCGCGTCAATCCTCTCGCGATTCTCTCTTCCTTATCTGCCTGTGAAAGGCTGGCTAACGACACGCGAAAACGTTCGCGGGCATTAAGCGTCGATGTTCACAGCGTTAGGCTTTAAGAATTCTAGGATCCCGACGACTACTTACCCCGATGATGTGCACTTTAACTCGTATCACCTTCTTCACGCCGGAAGACACCAGGATCTCCTGCGAGTCAGTCGCGTTCAACGTCGGGCAGAACGCCGGGCCGCTTCTGTAGCTCGGGCCCGTCCTCTGTGAACACGACGAGAGAATCGATCAGTTTCAAACGAGTAGTGATAAAGTCGCGCGATTCAATCTTGTGGAATGTAACTCCGATAACTCCGTAATCGTAGACGATCATAGAGTTTCTAACAAGATTCACCGAATCGGTTCGTTCAAATCGCTCTCGGTCCCCGGATGACCAATAACCATCGTTCAACCATTAGGACAGAAGCTCCACTTACGCTAACTCCGGTGACCAATATATCGTTCCGACAGTTCTCAGCCGTGTCGTGGGTGCACCTGTGCCCGTCGACGCACCAGTCACAGGGGAAGCTCGATGATACGCACTTGGTGCACGAGCTGTACGTGTTGCAATCGAAGAACGTGAAATTGGTGTCGACGAGGTCAGGCCCGTTCGTCATTCGAACTGAAAGTTTCGCGGTGAAGTGATGCTCCCCTTGCGGAATTGACGGCAGCAGATCGGTCCTGGGCGTGGTGCAGTTCACGCCGAACGATTTCCTCGACGCGTTTGTGATCAGGGTCTTGTCCAGGGTGGAGAACGCGCAGAGAAACTGGCCGGAAAGGGTCGGCAGATTCTCGATGACCAGCTCCAACGTTCTGGCGGTCGTCCGTTGCAACTGGTCCGGCGTGACGGTCGTGATGGTGGTGCATCTGCCGCTTTTGTATGAGATCCAGTAGAGCGGATCCTTGGCAGCGTCTTGGCAATCGCTGCGCAGATTGCATTTGTTCTCCAGCGAGCACCAGCCGCAATACGGGTCCTTGGCACCGAGACAATCCAGGCAGGTCTTGTACACCGAGCATTCCTGCACCTTCACCTTCGACACGGTCTTTTGCGTCATGACGTACAGGTGCATCAGCTGCGAGTCGAACAACAGGTCCGGGTTCACCGGGGAATCTGGATCGATCTCCAGGTCCCCGTACTCTAGGGCCAGGGTCGAGCTCTCCACTACCACCTGCAACAAGAAACACGCGTAATAACGCGATTAATTGGTGCTCTCGATTTTGTGTGCGAGATCGACCTTGCACGCTTTTTATCCCTTCTCGCCACATACGATATCGATCGTTGGCAAATCGAGGGTGATTGCAAAAGTCGAACGATCGCTTTTCGCTGCGGATACTCGGTAAAATAAAAAAAAAAAAAAGGAAAAGAATTGCTAATCGATCTCCTGTTATATTATTTGCAATTCACACGTTACTATGTAGTAACTTTATCGTCCGGCAGAAAAGTGGATAAGCGAGGACCGTCGAACTGCCGTAAGTTCGGACTATGGATTCCGAATAGAATCCGCAGTTCGTTAAAACGAAATAAAGAACAGGGGAGGGTATCGTGGGGTTGGTTAATTCAACCCCTTCCCTTCGATGGTTTCCTTTCAGGTGCTGTTAGCTCAATATGATTTATTCATCGAAACGATGATACACCCTGGCACACCCGCGATGAATGAAACATTAACACCGAATGCGTCTCGTTTCCACGTTTTTTAAATATTAATCGCTTATCAACGCGTAACGTCCGAATCCGCGTTTCCATTTTTTTTTGGAAATCCAGCCCACGCTTCGCAGTTTTAATTTGTTATTTTGTTCGTGGAATTCGTGAAAAATTACAATTGTAAAATCGACTCGTCGGGATACTCTTTACTGAATTTCGTTTCCGTGTGAATTGCGATTAAGAAGAGGAGGCTCGTTTGATTAAAAAAAAAAAAAAGAAAAAAAGGGATCTAGAGATGAATAACAGTGATCGCCTGATGAACTGGCCTGAGCTTCGTTCTAAAGATCGAAGAGATTCTAAAGATACCGTGTCGTTGAACGTTGCGATTTGTTATGCAAGAAAAGTCTTCTCGAGGGAAATCTCGAAGTTGAAAATAATAATTGTACGCGTGACGTGCATCAGGCACTTTCAGAAACGTTTAGATTGCCGAGTGTCACGCTTCGTTTTATTCTCGTTGGCCGAGATCAGAAAAATTCAACGTCAAGTAAGTAACTATTATCGAATGACTTTTTTAAGTAAATAGGACTACGCAAACGAGATGTTGTGTGATATGTGTATTAAAGTTTCAATTAGCATTAGTAGCAAGCAGTTACAATTGACTAACATCGATCGCACTTGGAAACCTTTTTTTTCGTCTAATTATTTACGGGATCAATTACGCGCTTGATTATAATTGTGACGGATAGTAAAGGTGTCAGAGATCTCTTCTTCGTGCTCGTCGAATCGTTTCCACAGTGACTCGATTATATAATGTGGACGTTTAAAACGGGGAAATCCTCTCACGGGTCGGTTCTTTTTTAACGCGCGGCAACAGAAAATAGCCGTTCTTTCGCGGCTCTTTCTCTTTCACGGCGACGCGACGCTTGAAACATATGTTATCTTCGCACTCGTTACGTCTTTACGCTTTGAACACACTTTCTCCCTCAAGTGTGCTCTCTCGCACGATTTTCTATCCACCCGGGTTTTTTCCTCTTTCTTGCCGGTACTTCATCCCATTTTAAACGCACACGTGCACACATATATCGTCCAGGCTAATGTCGCAACTTCAAAGCAACTTGATTGAACGTCATAAACGTTCCACAAGTGTTTATCATGATCGCCCGACAATGAACATATACGGAGCGGTTCGTGAAACACGATTTCTCTCGAAACATATCATTCGCGTCTGTATTTAGGAATTATCATTAGTATTTCGTGAGCCACCGTGTATGTTTTTGCAGAACGAATTCCCCTCGCCTTTCCTATTTTTTTCCTTTCTTTTCTTTCTCTAATATAAATTAAAAATTACAGCTTTTAATATAAATGCTAAACAGAGGTGAATAACAGAGGTAACTTTATTATACTCGGCAAGACAAATATTCTGCCTGTTAATTATCGCGCTCGCCTTTTGACGCGAGCACTTTTTATCGCGTTGCGCAATCCTGAGACACGTTGAAAAGAAGGACAAATCCGGAAGATGAAATTAATGGGTGTACGTGCTACCTTCCCTCTGGGGGAACACGCGTGTCCACCTTCCCCTCCACCGACGATACCGCGCCACGGCTTTAGTTCCGCTCCTTTTCAATTCCTCCAATTACAATTTCACTTCCAAGCGTTTAATTACGAAATCTAATTACCGGATGTCGCGATATTTAATTACGGGAAAACCGAGGGCCCCTGTATCAGGGATTATGTACGGCTTTGCCGTGTGTTATCTAGCCTGGCGCTTTCACGCTCGTAAAAATGATACGTTACAATGTGACAGTTAACGTTGATACTCCACATTTAACAGTACCAAAGTAATCGAAATAACGAATTTATAATTTTCCATTAAAATTATATATATGTATATATATATATATTTTTTATATTTGTATTATATTTATATATATTTATATTTTTTATATTTGTATTATATTTATATATATATATTTATATTTTTTATACTTGTATTATATTTATATATATATATATTTATATTTTTTATATTTGTATTATATTATATTGTATCATATTGTACAATATATTTATATGTATTTTCAAAGACGAACGATTTTTTAGTAAAATAAAGAACATATATAATTATACAATTATACGCCTGTATAATTCCGCGTTTATTCAAAAGCGATTCATCCGACTCGTTCGATAACTCGCACAGAATTCAATTGACTTTCGTCCTTTCTTCCGAGTGTCATTTATTGTCTTCAGGTATCAACCTTATTTTTTCTAGGAATCTCCTAAAAAGACTCCTAAAAATTCCGAGGATCCTTTGTGTCTGTTCTATGTTTCTCCTTTAATGTAAATTTCATAAATTATTTCTTGCTCTTTGATTTCTCTATTTGCACTTTAATCCTGGAGTGGCCAACTCACTGTCTACTTTTCCTTTTCTATTCTAATCTATTAATATTTTATTTAATACATCTACCAACCTAACATCGTTTTAATACCATCATACTGGTATTCGCACCGTTTCGGTTTCATCGAACGTAATCGAATAGTAACCTAAAAATACTGGTATATTTTACCCGGTATCCGGTAATATCGATTCGGCCTCTGGTTAAAAGCATCGAATTTTCAGATTCGAGACGTGAAAATGGTATTCGTTCGAGGAGAAACAGAAATGGCATGAAAGAAGCGCGAGTACCAAGATGTGTGGCTGTCGCGACACCATCGAACCGACCACTCGAGAAAAGAGTGAGAGAAAAAAAAGAGGTGGAAGCGTTCGATCCACGGCTAGCCACGGGTACTACCAGGTAAGTGCATTACACGTTTCATATCCTTCAATCACCGACGTCTCTTCCCACCCACGATAGACCGCGGCGCGCCTAGTTATCGCCGCGAGCATGGAAGCCTAACGGGCAAGCCTCTCAACCCTTTATTTTCCAACCGTTTAATTGCACGATTCGCATGGCATCGGCCGCGATGAACCGCACGATAGAAAGGAGACAAAGTTCAAGACCGCGACGGCCGCCGGCTGGCAGGGAGGCAAAGCGAGGAGAAGGTGAAAGAAGGGGGAAGAGGTTCGTAGAAGGAAGTCCTCCGGGGAAAGGCCGGCACGTGACCTCTGCCCCGAATAAACGAATCGACCGACCCGGCCTCGACGGCCGCCTCTCTCTGTACCACTACTACTCTGTTGCAATCTCTGTCCGCTTATCCCGCGTACGGATATAATAACAATAATTATCGAGCTACCGCGAATGTTAATTGCACGTCTGGTCCACCGGCTAAAACACCAGCCACCAGCAGGGTGATTTTTATCCGCTGTCAGCGAGCGAGGATCATGCCCGGTTGTTGCAATGATTTCAATCGCGGATGATGCGCGTGCACGCCCTTTCATTGTTCCTCTTTCTTTTTGTTTTTTTTTGGAAATTAAATGTAATATTTATACTATATATATATATATAATTAATTTTGAATTATTAATTTGATATTGACACTTTGTAGATGTTATTTGATTATTTCTATATTATATTTATTTTATTAATATATATATATAGTGTAATATAGTAATATTTATACTATAGTAATTAGGAAATTAATAGTAACTAATTACCTTATAATAATAAGGAAATTAATAGTAATATTTATACTATATATATATATATCATTAATTTTGAATTATCAATTTGATATTGACATTTTGTAGATGTTATTTGATTATTTCTATATTTATTTTATTAATTTAAATTATAATAAATATATACATTTATTATAATTTAAATTAATAAAATATAATAAACTAATATAAATATAAATATATATATATATATATTTCTATATTTATTTTATTGTATTTAAACGAATTTTTCGTTTCTAAATTCTTTTCCCTACACGATAAATTACACGATTCACTTAAAGTGAATACAGTGAAAATTACTTCGTTCTAAACTTCGCGTCACATTCTTTCCATTTACCGTCTGTCTGTTCCATTCGTTGCAAAAATCGCTTGTCAAAGTCTCTGCCTGAGCGCGGGGCACGACACAGACTTCGACTTGACGAAGCCGAGTAGGAACTTCTGAAGTTCACGGGTCTTTAGAAGTCAGTGGGGTCACGCCATCACGTTAAAACGACAGTCGGACGTCCGACGAAGAGGTAGGAATAATTTCTAAGCTTTGGCCCGCGATAAAAATCATTCCAATTATCAAACTATTGAGAAAAAATTACCGAACGCCTTAACGCGTTAAGTGCCGAGCGTACTTTGTTCATCTTTCCGTTTACGCTGCTCGATATACAGATTCTACGATAAGCAAAACGGTAACAGTATGATAACATACAGCATCCCAAGTAAAAAAATTTTGTAAAAATTGTTACGAAGAAGATACAACAGCTGCTGGGCAGAAATATTAGTAGACACGCGATTGAAAAAGTTACAAACGTTCTTCAACGATGGGTGCAAAGAAAAATCAAATTGTTGCCTATTTTGATAAAACCCACTAAAATTATTATCACATTATTATACTGAATACCATTTATATAATAAATATCAAT